ACGTTATTTTTTTTCTTTTTATTGACCGTTTGTAAAACAGATTGATAGATGAAGATCAAAGGTGGTATTTCCACTGGTGTAGAGGACGCTGTGAATTAATCTTTATTTTCTCCACAGAGTAATGTGAATTTAATTAGTTGTTTTTCTAATATGTTCCTTTGAAATGCCAAAGCTGGGGGCCTAATTTTTTTTTTAATACATTTTGGTTCTCCATGGTTCTTAGACATACAGAATCTCATTTAACTTGGATTCCACTGCATATGTAATGAGTTTCTTTATCTGTTCCTTCTTCCATTGCTATGTTTACCTTGTTCTTTTAGTATTTACTAAGAAGTTGATTTGAATGTTAATAGCCCAGCAAAGAGTTAACTGGAAGTTTAATATTATGTTAATAAATCTGTATTTGGGAAAAGGTTTTCTGTGTTAATGTGTGTAGGAAGGGAGCAGAGGTGTAGCCAGAAAATCCTAATAGGGGTGTCCAGTCAATAACAAACGAACATTGAGGGGTGGCCGAAAGGCACCAGAACCTCAGGGTCAATCTACACTGTTCCAAGAGGAACAAGCACAACATTCATATTTTCTAAATAAAGACAAACTATACTTTCCTGCAGCCTTTGCTACAAATAGATGCATATATTTAAACATCTATGCTGTGTAAATAAAAGGTATACTGTAGGTCAAAATTCTTTCAGGTTTGAGTTCCAGGGTAAACATATTTCAATTGTTATTACCTACTTTTATAAATAATCATTCTGCAAAAAAATGATATTTAAATCTACTAATATCCACATTTAATTAATTTTTATGTTATTATTAAAGTAGTTATTTATCTATGATTTCACTTAAGACTCCTAGATGACTTGCAGAGGCACATCATTTTATCTTTACCCCAAATAATTCTAAATTTAGTTCTGAAAAGAGCATGAATTCTGTATCTATCACCTTTAATATTTATATATTGATGTGCACAAATAACCACAGTGTTTCTGCTGTCAATTAATTGTTAATATATGAAAAATTGATTAACTATTAATCTTTAAAAACAACGATTAACAATTTATTAACAGTCCTCTGCAGGTGATTCATGGGCATCAGCTGACCCTACCTGGTTTAACTTTTTTTCTCAATTCTTTTCATGTTAACTTCAATCAGATCAACATGATTTTAGACTTTACGATTATCTGATACTGGCCGTGGACAAGACACTGGTTGGATGTTTGGATTGTCTAACAGTAAAGAAGCTGCAGAGAGGCGTTTTATACTACAACCCTGCTTCCTGGTCTGCATGTTGGACTGTCAAGGTTTTGGAAGATTAATAGATCTGGTCAGATTCCTAGAAAGAAAAGCTGCACATTCAACATGGGATGGATGCCGTCTCTCTCAATCACACCAGATTTCTCCCAAAAAGTCTGTCAACGATCAGCCTAGCCTACATTGTTTTCAGGACAACAGTGGCATTCACAAAAAAAATGTTTTCTGCACTTAAACCATCCCTTATCGAGCAGTGCACTGCCGTGCAGCACCCATGGAGGGCTAAGGTTATTTTTGAGAAGCAACATGCCAATTAGTGGGATTTACACCAGGGAAATTGCAGCGTTCCTAGAAAGTGTGTTGCTTTAAACAATTGGTCGGTTATTTTTTCTGTTTTAGAAATTAATCTCAACATTTGACCAAGTCGGTTTTATTTCATTAGAAATATACATAAATATCTCCCTATATTTATTTATTAGATACATATGAATTACAAACTAAATTATTGAAAAACTATTAAAATCTATTTGGGATCAATAACATTTTATTCATTTTCATTTCAATTCAAAATTACTAGCCTGCTGTCTTTTGCTGTTTTCAAGTGCTTGTTACTATTACGCTTAATAGTCTGAGTTTACTTCTGAAGAAGGCGTTTTGTTTGGAAGGCTTAAAGGTTTTAGAGCCCCCCAAAGAGAAGATACAGAGTTGAATAGATTCACAGGAAGTATGACAAAGTATTCATTTTGCTCAGGTAATGGTTTATTGTACAGAATCTTTAAACATTCGATCACATTTTAATATGTCAGCATAATAGCAAAGCCTATGATAGTAAATCACATGCTCTTAAGACACAGCAGTAGTTTCCTGTCAATGTCCAGATTATGCATTGAGAATGTCAGACATAGTGTTTATGTAGCAGTTACCCAGGTTAGTTTCTGCAAATAAAACAGAAGTGGTGTTTTTCAAACCATTTCACTCGATTAAGCCAGCAATTAGGCACTTTCTCTATAAAAAGGTTGAATTAAGATCATACTTCTATTACTGTTGCAGGAATGTAGCTACTGCTGCATCACCCCTTACCTTTCACCAGGAGAGTGTTCACTTTAAAGCAAATGGATATCATTCAGGGGAGCAGAAGCGTCCAGCAAAGAGAATGCTCATGGTGGGGTTATGGCGGATGAAGAAAAGGAAGGGATGATTTGCACAAAAAAATGGAGTTTCTCTAGAACAAAGATTTATTGCAGTACCAGAAACAATAGCAGCCTCTGTTCCCTCCTCGTTGACCTCCACAAAAGCCTTGTGGAAGACTTCAGAGAGAAAAAGCTCCTTGTTGCCAGACATACCTGTACCAGAGCAGACAGAAACATTAAATGACTACCATATTAGTTGATGTGTGCGTAGAGCCAAAATATGTGTTACTTTTTTTAAACTGCACACTCGGAGCTGATGCTTTTTATGGGAATATGAGTAGTAAAGCAGAACCATAAAAAAAACTGCATCTTTCCCACGTGTTCCCTAATTAGCATCTCAGTTGTCACTGTTGGGAAAGTTACTTTAAAAAAGTTGCTAGTTATAGATACTTATGCCACCAATAATGTAACTCAGTAACAGTGAATGCTCAGTGAAAGTAACTCGTTACTAGCCAAATTAAGCATGCAGTTACTTTTCCATGTTTTGAAATGTTAAACAATTTAGGTTTAATTTTGTAATATGAGGATTTTTTTTATTTATTTATAAATAAATCAAAGTATTAAATAAAAGGTCTACCCATCAGAAAACATTGACAACTAATTTGCACTAGATTAAAATAAAGATAACATGTTTTAGAATTTTATATTTTTGGGTATAAAGAGGTATTAAAGCTGAAAAATAACAAAAGTAATATAAATATTACAACAGAATAAAAAAGGGGTTACACTTTTCCAGAAAGAAAACACTATCAGGACTTTATGATCTCAGGATTTAAAAATATAAACCATGCAAGTAAAATCATTAACCCTGAGAATGTGTCATGATTAAAGGCAGCCAGTAGTCAGTCAGTGTTAAGAAAGATCTGCAGAGTTTCAATAAAAGACAAGAGTGAGACTTAAGTGTCATGATGTGTTCTGCCCAAACAATTGTCTGTTTTTAAAGCCAATTTATACCTAAAGACCGTTTACCTCACCTTCATGCCAGCTCATGTAACTGCACTGTGGCCTCCCAGTGCAAGTCTTAATTAACCATAAATATGATATGAAACAAGAATTTGGACAAAAATTTGACAACAGTGGCAAATTTTCAGAGGTGACCAATGTGCAAAGGAGGTTTGCCGGAAACAAACGGGCACCAAAGTGGTTCAGGGTGAACCTATAATGATCAAAATGAACATACTTCTATATTGTAGCAATAAATCACTGAAGATGGAGCAGAGTTTCATGAGGCCGTTGCTAATAAAACTATGCACATATTTATACTTCGGTGCCGTTTAAAGGAATTTATTGTTATGCACAGTATAAACATTAAATGGGTTGAGCAGTTGATCTTTATCACTGATTACATAGAAGACTCCTAAAGGACTGCAGAGACAAACTCTACCCCACAAAACATTAAAAAATTATATAAAACAGCAACAATCATATATTAATCCTCATTAATTATGATATAGTTGTAAATTATTAATTGCTGTATTTCTTTTTGTAACTTTTAGGTTAATATAGTTCATAAAATGTCAAAGTAGGCACATGGATGGTTGTAAAAATAACCCGTTATCTTTATATTTGTGAGTAAAAGATAACAGTTAAACACATTCTGGTTTTGTTATTTAGTTTATTTCGAAATTAGATTTGTTTTGGGGAGTGCCTTGTTTGACAGGCCTCATCTTGTTTCCTTTAAACGTGGAACTGATTTAACATTAGAATATTTAGTTGCTACACTCTAACGTAAAATGAAACGCTTATATTAGAGTGGTGAAATATGAAAAGTCAGTTTGAATACTCTCCTCTGCCATTTCCCTTTCAGAGCAGGTATGCACAGGACCGCACCATCAGAATTGAAGGAGGGGTTTAGTCTTATGTGTTGGATTCAGGAAAAATAACTTTTCAAATAAATAGAAATTGAGCCTGCACAGGAAAGAGGTTCAAGCAGCTTCTGCAGGAGCGGAAGGAAAAGCCCAACTCAACTTCAAGCTTTCCTCCTCCGAATCCCCTCCTGCAGCTGTCTTTTATGAACAGTGCATAGCACATGATTACAAAACAGTATTTGTTCTGACAGAACAATTGATCAGTTCATAAAGACAAGATGCTCCATCAGAATGACAAGGCAAGATGGTCTCCTGACTGCACAGATGTTTCAAAAGCACGCATTAATTTTATAATCATCATTGATTAAACCTGACATTATGTATGTTGTCTTCTATATGAAGTTTTGAGTATTTGATGGGATTGAATTGAAAATTTCTGTTTTGTCTTGATTAGTACATGTAAATGTATCTCTTCACTAGCTGCTCATTTAGAACAAATACTCTTGTTTCCGTTATTTATTATAAAGGTTTCTTCCAATTTAGTTCCATCTGTATCTAAGAAGCTTGTCTGTCATTGTGCTGTGGTTGGTGTGGTTTGGTTGATGTGCTGCAGTAACAAAAATTGAAGAAGTTTCAGCTTAAACTCTTGTAAGTCTGTTCCTTTAAACTGTTTTGGGTCCCTCCTCCAAGACTGATTGACCTCCTGACTAGCATGTAGCAAGTGGTGTCAGAAGTTATGGTTTGAAACTACATGCTGAATGATGGCATGGTGTGGAAAAAGGAAGTACTCAGTGGTAGTACTTGAGTACAAGTATTGATATTCATAGTCAAATATTACTCAACTAGAAGTAAAAGTTACTCAGTCAAAAATCTAAGTTATTGAAGTACTCACTTTTGAAAATACTTTCAAACGTATAAATAAGTTTCTGTAATATCAGAATATTTATGTATATTTTTTTAGAGTAATTCTAAAAAAACTTTAACTTTCAGAAACGATCTGAAGTATTAATGCATACAACCAGTCTGCTACAAATGCTGCACCACCTGTAAAGACCTTTAGCATAATAATGCCACAAAAATAATGCCTATTTTGATAATTATTTCTTATTTAAAAACAAACAGAAAAAGATAGAAGGTGTTTCTTTATTCTTCTCACGATTTCATGATGGAGAGGTTTAAGGTTGAATTGGTTACCACAAAGAAACTACAACTCTGCTTTAGGAACTCATCCAACTGAACAACTTGGCCGCATGACAATAACCAACACCTTATTAGAATTTTCAAACTACAAATAGTTTTATGGATTTGTGGAATTTCATGCAAATCTCTAAAACAGTGGTGTTCAAATTTGCTCCCAAGGGCTGTTAGTATCTTGCCAGTTGAAATTGAATTCAAGCGAGAAAAACAGCAACAGCGGATTATAAAGATAAGCTGAGGCAAATGGTAACAAATAACAGCTTCCTCAAAACATAGTTGAGTAAAAAGTACAATACTTGACTTTGAAATGTAGTGAAGTGAAAGTTATAAGAACGTCCCAAAAAATTACAAAGTACAAAGTACCGTAATTTTCGGACTATAAGCCATGACTTTTTCCCAATTTTCGACCATTTTTTGATTTTGCGGCTTCTATAACAATGCGGTTTATCTATGGACTTTTTCAGCTAACGGCCACTAGGGTAATACGCTACCTAAATCTATGGATTTTACCATCCACCATGTTGACGTCACATTTGCTTCAACACACAAGTAGCCGCGCGCGCAGGAATGCAGAAGCAGACTCCGAGAAAGACGGACATTGCGAGCGCAAGACAGTTTGTGTGACACCTTCATTATGGAAAACAAACGTTGAAATGCATATGATGCAGCTTTTAAGTTAAAGGCAGTCAATTTGGCAGTAAACCAAGGAAATAGAACCGCTGCACGTAACCTTGGAATCAACGAGTCAATGGTGAGACGTTGGAGACGCCAGCAGGAAGAATTGTCTCAATTCAATTGTGTTGAAATGTTAATAAATAGGAGCTTTCCTGATAATCCTCTCTGTGCACGAACCATATGGTAATTAAACATAAAAAACCTGCGGCTTATACTCAGAAAATTACGGTAAAGATACTTTGAAAAAGTACTTAAGTACCGTAATCCAGTAAATGTACTTCTTTTTTTTTCACTTTCCACCACTGCCCTTATAAGATCATAAGATGTGTGAATAAGGTCATCTATGACCTCTACACACCAGATAAGCAGCAGATGTTTCCATGGGAACCATTTGAGGGAGCGTCACTGTCCTTCAACCAAGTAGGTCCAACTATTGAAACATCTAAGCCTTAGCTCTTTATTTGTGAAGCAGAAGAGGACAGTGTACAGGAGTTCCCAGGAAAAAAAAACAAATCCATGACAGTGGATCTGTAAGAACTCCAGCCTGGTCAGCGATAGATACTCAGTGACTGACACAGACCTTTTCACACAAACAAAAGGTTTCACTACATTGCTTGAGCATAAATATCTCCTTGAGGATGATGCTACACCGCACTGAAGGTTTTATCGGATCCTTTAATGTCTGCTCCCTAAAGTCAAACCAGAGGTGGAGCTGATGTTGGAGCTGGACATGTCTCACAGGGGAAATTAGTTTTAATTTGAATGTGTGATTATGTAAATATTTTTGATTGTGCATGATTTCTCTTTTTTTTTTTTTTTTATTGCATGCCAAAAAAAAAATTTAAAATTAAAAACAATCCACTGGACTTTGCTTCCAAGTTTGAGACTTTTCGCTTCCCATCCAGGAAGCTTTTTCAATTCAAAAGGTCAGGAACAGCGTTAAGTTCAAGGTTTTAAACGGTAGCCCAACAAAGCCTTGTTTTTGTTTTGAAAACATACAAATTGGAACAGATGAAGCAACATGGTTAGAGATTTGCATGATTTTACTGTTTTAATCCACTGTGGACTCTAAGGACAATTAACTTGATGATGGCCACCTGTGGAGTTGTGGGTGTGCCTGGAAGCAGCCTATCAGCTGTCTTACAGACCTGCCAAGAGAAGCGGGCAGAAAACCTTAAGGGTGAAGAACTCACTACAGGAGGGAGGGGAACAGCACATTGCAGCCAGGCGTGGTGAGAGGACGGACAGTGGCTCTGCACGATTGTCTCTCCTTTGCGCTCAAGGCATGCTGAAGTTACACTGCTTTATACTCATTGAGAAATGAATAACAAATGTTAGACGTGAGTTTCTCGATCTTCTGGGCCATATGCTCTAATTATCCCATTTAAGTTAAGTAACCTGGGAATTCTGCATCTGATGAGCGTATGAATTATATTGAACACAGGTAAATTAGTGCAATCGATCAACAGTTCACTCGTTCAGCATATTACATAGACTGGCTATTATAGTATGAAAATTATATATTCAGAATTCTGAAACTTGTAATTAGAGAAACTTATTTTTTTTCTCACCAGATAAGTCACACTTTGTCTCATCAAAAGCGTCCTCCATGCCCATACTGATCAGGGTTTTCCTCATGTCATAATTCTGCTCTATCTTGAATCGAGGGAGACGCACCTCAACGTATTGGCGTTCCATCTTGTCAGGATGAGTCCACTCCATGAATTTCTCATAGGTGAGAAGTTTCTCCAGCTTGATGGAAAACAAAAACAGTTGTGAACACACATCTGATAATCAGACAAAAGCTAATAGAAAAGCTAACCTTTCTTTCATTGGATTAGCTTTTTCGATAACCTTTAAAACTCTTTGCTGGCTGGTTAACTTTAGTTATACTGAATTTGCATATTTTAATTCAATATCATTTACATAATCAAAATATAAAAGCTAGATGCTTTTAGATATGACAGAACCTTTTTATTTAAGTCACCTTTATGTAGAGCTTCTCTCTATCTACTTGCATTGAGAGGGATTTATACAAAGTTCAAACATATTAGTTTTTAATAAACCATTTTAATATAAGCAAATTCAGTAAAAGCTGCCAAAGAAGTTGTTAGTTCAGATTTCATGATTTAAAAAAAGATTAATTTCAATTAAAAAAAAGGTGGATTGAATATATAGCCATACCATTAACATTCACATAAACAAAATATGAACATCCCTAGATGTGGCTCTGTTGAGGTTCCGAAGCTCTTCAATAAACATGTGCCAAGAGGTTCATTTCCCCAAACCTCTTCTAAATATTTTTCAAATTAAAAAGTTTTTGTATTTTTCAAATACAAAAGTTGTAGTTTACAGCCAAACAGACTAAAAAAACAACAGCAAAAAGCCTCCAACTGACAAAAAACTGTAGTATTTTTTACACAACAATTTGCCACAATCAGTCAATATTGAGGTAGAAGCTTTTTAAACGGAGCTTCAAACATGTTTCATTTAGACACATCGGCCAGCAGCATGTGACATGCCAGACACACAAGCCTAAACGCAGTCTGGACACCATTGCATATGTCTGTGCTACATGCATTAAGGAGGTACTGTGCATTACTATTTTATGCACCATTAGGAAAAGTGATATCTGATAAGAATGATAGTAGGTTTTTCACTTAATGACTCACTTAATGATTCTCAAACTGATTATTAGTTCAAGATGTAGATATTAGGGCTAACTGTGTAGCTGTTAGCCATGAGGGGCACTAAACCTGTAACTTCCATTTTAAGTGCAGCTTAAAGCAACTCGAGGAGATTCTGATAGAAACTAAACAGTCTGATAGAAGACCAGTTTAGACCAGCAGATTGAGAAGATAAAGATTTTTATGGCAGAGTGGAAAAGGGAAAAACAAATAAATGCCCAGCCCTGCATCTGGCTTCCAGCATAAAGTAACTTTGGTGTTTTTAAGATACTGGGCATAAAGTGATTAGATAATCTTGAAAAATGCCTTTAAAAATCAATTAACTATGCTGAATAAAGCAACTTAACACTAAAATATGACGCAGCAGGAATACAAACATCAAGCACCATGTGCAGGTGATGGTGTGAATCTCTGTATAAGGACAGAGATATAGTGGCAGTTGTCTTATCTGCTTTCATTTCAAAGCTCCATTTAGGTTAATCCAACAAGGGTTGTAAGCTCTACCCACCGATGAATATCAATAATCAAATGTCTCACTATAAATATTGAGTTTCATCAATCTGTTAGACTGAGTCTTACCTTCTCCAGACCCGTTGTATCATCTTCTATTTTATCAGGCAAAAAAATGAGCATGCTCATCTCCTTCCCTTTGTAAGGCTTCTCTAGGATCTAGATTCAAGCAGATGGTTTCAGACAATAAAGAAATATACATACTAGGATTACAGCCAGGCTTTAACTCACAGTAATTAATTTAAAACTGATTTAACGTGTTTAATTACCTGACATCTACCTTCAGGAATGGAGGTGATTGGAAGATAATGATCCTTCCACATCATCTGTACAGGTTTTGTTTCAGTCTAAAGAAAAAGATGAACAGCAAAATAAATGCAGTGTAATAATGTTTTATTGAGTAACAGAGAAGCATCCCAAACACTGTCTTTATAAAGTAATTACAGGATAATTATGCACTCATGTTAATGTTTGAAACATGGCTCCTATTTGAAAAAACAAGGTATAAAGTTAGAATTTTCTGGATTTCCTGTCTTACTTGGCCTCAGCCACATGAAAGCAGTTTAGCAGCTAGCCTCCTCCAAATCCATCTATAAGCCGTTTTTTCTCAATCCTGGTGCCTTAACTGTTCAGTCAGTGGTTAAAATTAGAAATCAATGTATCTGATCATTGATTTCCCTCTCTTGTGTGTTTTAATATTTCTTATAAGCCTACATGAAAAACTACTAATATATGTTGTTATATAGTAAATTTCTTTCACCATTTCAACATGATTATTATGGTAGCCTATACCATTATTAACTTTATAATTGTATGAGTTCTAAGCATGAAAGAAAGGCCTTTAATAGACTAGCGCTGTGTTGAAAGGGTTAGAGAAATTGCTGATAAAGGAGCAAAAGTGTTATCCATGAAGACAGGCTGTGAAAGTAGCTCCAAACATCTTTCTTTACAATGGCGTGCCCATATTTACATTTTTCCAAGGAATAACCTGCAACAGCATAACCTCTTTTCTAGGGATGAGATGTACCTCTGTGGACCGCTGGGTCCCACAATTCAGCACTACAGAGAACAGAGCCATGCGTTGACCGTTTTTCAGATAAGCTGTGTGGGTCTCAGATTTTCTCCTGGAGGTATGTTCCTGTTTGCAGTAGGACATGCTGAAATTTTAGTAAAATAAATTTGTCGCTGCACCATCAGAATTGTGTATTTGGCATCAAAAGGAAGGACACAAATCTTAATAACCCTCCCCAGCCACTAAAGACTGAACTTTATAAAGGAAGAATTCCACAGTATTGCACAAAACATGATTTAAGCCACATTTTACAAAAAAACTTTAGAACAGTTGGACAACTTTTTCCTTTGTATTCCTAACAGGATTCCCTAATGCAATGGGTGCACTGGAACAAACAAACTTTAAAATATTTCCCCTCCGGAGCACATGAGGGTTATTTTGTTGACAGAAAATCTGAGCATTCGGGTAAAAGTAAGCGATTGTTAGGCTTGTCTAATACATACATTTATTATAGGAATTATATTATCTGTGATTCTGACTGCATCTTCAGCAACATGGAAGCAAACCGGCTTGGGTCAGTCCTCGGTCCCAAATCCGAGGACTGAGCCCTCCCCTTTGTTTAAGTTAAGGGCCAGTTTTCCAGATTGATAACATTTTTAACGCTAAATGCCATTCATTATGTACCCAGGTTTTTACCCTGAGTCGCCCCGCATTAAAACCACATACCTACACACAACAGAGACCCAGATTGCTTTGTTAAAAAGATATATTTAAATCTTACCACTCTACATGCAAAAAATGTTTGCAGCCACTCCATGTTTATTAGTGGCATGTTAATAATCTATTATTCTAAAGTCCCAATAGTGATACTAACAGACATTTGCAAATATGGAACAACTTTAAGCTGCATAAGTTCATTTAGCTTCATTACCTACACCCAGGGTCCAAGATTAACTTTTGAATCAGCGGCCAACTGGAACATAAAATTATTTGCAAGCCATGCATACTTTTATCTGCCACACAGAAAAAAAAAAAAAAAGTATAATTTGCTCATATAATTTTAAGTAACACTTTATTTCACTGTGGCATTATGCTAAATGCAAACAACGTTACAATAAAAGTTAATGTAGTTTTATTAAATTAAGTTGTAATTCAGAATTTTATTAAATTTCATTCAAAACAGTGCATATCCAAAATACTTCTATTTGATAAAGGGGAGATATATAAAACCATTAAAAAAAAACTTTTTAAAATTTTTTATATGGTTCAGAAATAAAAGCGTAGCCTTTCTTCTAATGGCATGGTCAGTGCAAAACAATATTTTCATCTTTGTGTGTTTGTGTTGATAGTTATTAGCGCACTCAAACAGTGACTGTGGCATGGGCTGCTTATATTGAGCTTGAGACAAGGACATCCTGCAAATCTTGCATTTGCTGCACTTGAGTCACAGATGCTCTCCAGTTTCATAGATTGACAGCCAGTAACAAATTATTAACATTACTATTTTAATTAGGAAAATTAAATCTAAGTGTGTTCTGATTGCCTGATCCTGAGCCTTTCTGCCTTTGGACCTCTAAGCCTGCCCGTTCCCGTTCTGACTTGTCTCCAGACTCCTGCTGGATTCTGCCCGTTTACAGAACCTGGAACTGATTCCTGACACCTCCCTGGATTTCCCTTCGGTACCTCTTCGGATCTCTGATCTTCTGGCCCGGTCTCCAGAGCACATCCCCAACACTGGCTTTGGCATTAACCCGCCAAATGAAAAATTTTGCATTGGGCGAGTAGTGAGTGTTAATTTTGGACCCTGGCTATACCTGACCTAACAAAGCCTCACCCTATGAGCCTGGCTTGGCCTTTGGACGAAGCCAGGATGTATTCATGATGTCAAGACAAACCCGACTTTATAATTTATCCTGGAATTTCTTAATTCAGCTTTTGTGAAATAGGCCAACAACTGCAGCTGAACTTTCAGGATATTTGTGCATTCAAAAACAACCAAGAACTAATTTTCTACCACTCTAGTTTAAACAGTTAAAGGCTGAATCAATCAAGAGACTTTCAGCCGATCAAGTTGCAATACTGAGGTTTAAAGGAATAGTACACCCAAAACATGATTAGCCTTCATTTTCTACTCACCCCCATGCTGAACAACACTCTGGAGTACTTTTTTGATATCTCAAATGCATCTGGAGATCTGGGAGGCTTCTTGCTGTCTGCTGACATTCAAATAATGGAGGTCTATTATGCCCGAGACAGAAAGGTCCATAAAAGTCCACAAAAACGTGTCAATATTCCTCCATACTGCTCGTCCAATGTATTCCAAGTGTCCTGAGTGGGTAGCATCCAGAATTTACTCAAAACGAAGTCATTTAGAATGTTTTTAGAGCATAAACAGTAGTGTATACCGTAGGATTTCCTGAAAGCGCGCACATGCGCGTTCACGACGCTACGGAAGCCGGCAGACCAAACCAGCGCATTCAGCTCGGCAAAGAACTCATGCTCTTCCTCAACACTGAAGTCCTCAGACATTTTTCTTTCGTTGTTTCTTTCTTTGCACAGGTAAACAGCACATTTCTTCTTCTACGCTTGCATTATTGGCAGAGCAGACGCTGAATGCGCACTTTCATCTGGTTTGGTCTGCCGGCTTCCGTAGCGTCGTGATCGCGCAGGTGCGCGCTTTGAGGAAATCCTATACACTACTGTTTATGCTCTAAAAACATTCTAAATGACTTCGTTTCAAGTAAATTCTGGATGCTACCCACTCAGGACACTTGGAATACATTGGACGAGCAGTATGGAGGAATATTGACACGTTTTTTGTGGACTTTTATGGACCTTTCTGTCTCGGGCACCATAGACCTCCATTATTTGAATGTCAGCAGACTGCAAGAAGCCTCCCAGATCTCCAGATGCATTTGAGATATCAAAAAAGTACTCCAGAGTGTTGTTCAGCATGGGGGTGAGTAGAAAATGAAGGCTAATCATGTTTTGGGTGTACTATTCCTTTAAGGAATATCCTTAGCAACCATGAAAGGGTTTTAACAGGAACTGTACCAGACTGAAAATTTGTAGAACTAAACCTTCATGAGACATAGAATCAACCTAGTTTACAGAGTTAACTGAGTTCATCATCTGTATTTCTGTCTTCATTTTTACCTTGTTGATTTTGAATTCGGACTCTTGAGTGTCCCATAGCTTAAACGGTTCATCCCAGGTGCCTTTAAAGTAGATGGCATTTAACAGGATCATCCTGGTCATGTTGCTCACAGTGCTTGGAGGCAGAATGTCCTTGATTAAACCTGGTGACAAAATGGATCAGATGAGAACAAACACAAGAGACTACAGCTTTTAAAAAACATAACCTTAATGCTGTAAATACACTGGGCATGTGACCTAGAAAAAGAAAAATTTAAACCAGATGCTGCAAAGTATACTCCATAGCACACTTTAATTGATCACTTTAAAAAATTTCGCCTCTAACATGGACAAGTTATTAAATTACATGCCAATGTATTGTAGTGTGTTGGGGCAGCAGAGGCTAGTTTTCCCAGAATGCACTGGGCAGCATGTTCAGTTTTAGAAGCTGCCAGTTAATGTTATCAATCTTCTCCAGGTTATTACAGTAAGTTACATGTTTTATTTGTTACTGTTCTTACGTCTGTTGTATCATTAGTTGCTGTTATAATCTGAAGTACTTGTTGTCCCACCATGCGTCTGGAAGATATGTCCATTAATGACCTTTCCTGGTTGTACAGTGAGTGTGGGTTTGGTTCAACAAAAGAGGACGCCTTCGAGAGTCGTGCAGGCATGGAAGCTACCGCTAAACTGAAGTCATCTCTGGATAGTTATTGCTATAGCAACCCATTACTGCTAAAGTGTTGTGATTCATTTCAGTTCCAAGACAATTCAATCTAATGTACATAAAAAAACAAAGTATAATGCAGTGGCATAAAGGCATCACAGATGGCAAAAGAAAATGAAAAGGACATATTGAAATAGAGGATAACCTATGCAAAGAGAATGATGGGAAAAAAAATTCTTTTAAAAGATAAAGAAGATAAAATTATTAAGAAAATGGGATGAAAGTTACATCTTATAATATTTAGATAGCACATTCAAAGACACTCTAAACAAATGTTTTTATTTTATTTTGATTTAAAGCAACTGAGGGTTTCAGAGCTTTTCTTGTTTTCTGGGAGTTTATTTCAGATTAGTGAAGAATAGCAACCAAAATGTGTTTCTTTACATTTGGTTCTGTTTGAGGTATGGAAAATAGACAATAATTTAATTTAATTGATCTCTTATTGGAGACATTTACTTCAGCATTTAACTCATCTCCTTTGGGGAGCAGTGGGCTGCCATTGTGCGGCGCCCGCGGAGCAGTGTGGTGTTAAGGTTTCTGCTCAGAGACCCAGAGCGGAGGCTGTGGGGGTCAAACTGGGTACTTGCAACCTTTTTAGAGATCATTAGTTGAAGCGGCTGGTTATTAGCCCCCTTTCCTTTCCATTGTCACTCAGAGACTTAGGGTTTTTAAAAGCCTGGGTAGTGTTTACATACATTATTTGTCTTAGTGGGGCTTTTTTTTTTGGGATGTTTAACCCTCTATAGAGACTTTATGAACTTTTGAGAGGGGTTGGTGAACAGCTGCAATGCTTAATAACAGCATTGGCGGCAACAATCACCTTTAAATGTTTTTTTTTTTTTTACCTTACGCTTGTCATAAAATCAATTTTAAGATTTTTAGGACAAACAAGTACTCCTCAAAATGTAAGCTCTATAATAGAAATAGAATACATTCATACAAACTGTATTTGCATGTAAACCTTGTTTACTAGAGTATAAATATTTATCTGTGTGTATAAATGCATGTTTTATTTTGACCATTTTATGCTGACAAGGCTGCAATAGAGATCATGAGTTGACTGTTGGCTTGTGGGAATCCTTCCACCATGGAATCCATTGTATATAGCTTCAACTTAATATAAATATATGCCAATGTAGGTAAGATCTTTTGATAAAGAAAAATGTTCTCCTTGTGCTATAGATGTGAGATTTATTTAAAAAAAAAAAAAAAAGTGTATACATTTTTTAAGATATATTAAATGAATCATATCATTAAAAATCAACTTTGGCCCGATTCAAGTTGATAAAAATATAAAATGTCAAATAAACTTTTAAAGTTTAGGAATCTACTTATAGCTAAATGGTACTTCAGGTAAATGGAAAACCATTTTTATTATTATTGCCACCCACTGGACTGAAGGTGTAGTGCAGTTTCTCTCAGGCTGATTGTCACAGGGCTTCCAGAGTAATGAGAAACCACACTGATGAATTACTCAGGATTCCTAATATCCAGGTGATATAAAACTGGGGGCTTCAAATCTCAGGGCTTGCTTTCCCCTTTTCCCCTGGCATAACTTTTGCTCTTGAATCGGTTTGAGGGCTCATGTCATTCAGCGTTGGTGCTTGGTTACAAGGAAAAGACCGTTTTGACCAGTTGTAATACAGGATGTGGAAGTTATGCTAAATGGGAAGATAAAATGGTAAACTATAGAGGGAAATTTAAGATCAATTGTGGCAACTTATTTCTAACAAACCAGGGCCAAACAATGCAGTATTTATTTATTTTTTTGTAAAAGGATTGAGGCAGACAGACTTAACTGCAGTTCTGGCCACTAAAAGAAAAACTGCCACTCCATCCCCACGGTTGCACTATGCGTTCTTGATAGAATGAAAAGCACTTATATCTAGATCTTCCAGGCCTATGAATGTAAAAAAAATAGTAGTCTTGGTAACGCCTTTTATGCTGCTGTTCCTATGTCATGCTCTCAATCCTATAAACATGGCACATATCTCAGTATATCTTGCTTCATCTTCTGGAAATTATCTTATAAAAATGAAATCTCCAGTTTCTCCTTTGCTTCTTCCTTGTTGCCCATGTGCATTTACTCCTGAACTCATATTTGATATTGAGAGGTCTTAAGAAATTTCCCCTTAGACATCTGAATTTTTCTGGATGAAAACTATTTGTGTTTGTGTGCAGTATATTGTGCAACATTGTGCAGCTGTTCACCACACAATGTAGTATCAAACCTGCAATATTGATCATTATGTGATGGAACTCTTAAGTTTTGAAAACCAGTCAACAGTTTTAACATCTTGTCACATGAACCAGGCATTAGTGTGCATGATCCACCTCGTGTCTGCTCTTCTACCCAGCTGTTGATCTTGATCCTGGCTTCCTCACTCCTGTTTCTGAAGTCCACAGACTCCAGCTCTAAGTTGAAGTAAGTCCTGGTTTGGGTTAAAAACTCCTAAAAGGAAAAAACAGTTGTTATAAGACAAACTTTTCAGTCTCCATACATGTTTTACACACTAAAACATAAAACCTCTGATTTACCTTTCTACCAATACTAATTATTGGCTTACTAAATACAACAAAATACCTTGCAAAGATTTATATCATACTGTATGTAAAGGACCTTGAGGTAAAACATTTGTGAATTAGTCCTTTATGAAAAAAACCTGGTTGAAATGTTTGTGCTTTATTTTATTTTATAAAGGTGAATCTTGCTTTATAAACAACTTGAAGCAATGTTTCCCTTTTTTCTTTTGGAAAACAAAAATACTTTCTGTCATGAGCTTGGCACTGATGACTGGATTATTGGTTCATTCCTTCCACCTGCCTATCTCCGCCCAGTCTTCATTACCTTTCATTAGATCCACCTGTTCCAACTTCATCAATGCCAGATTATTCGAGCCATAGGTGAGAGTTCTCTAGCGTACCAGGTCTGTTACTTTGATTACCCGATCCTGACTAGTTTCTGCTCCCAGACCTCTGAGCCTGCTTGACCCTGTTCTGATCTGTTTACCTGACCAGTCTTCAGACTCTTTGGACTGCTGGATTCTGCATGTTTAAGACCTTGGATCTCTCTCTCGACCCCAGCTTTGATTTCCCTACGGTACCTCTTCGGATCTCTGATCTTCTGTCTTTGACTTCTGCTTCCTCTTCGACACTGGTCTTGGTTTCTCCTTCTGAAAACTCCTGCTTTTCCTCGTCTGCTGGCATCTACTCGTCTGCTGGCTCTGAGCCCCTATGGCTTCTGCTCCATGAACTCTCTGGGCAGTGTCCGCTGCGGGCCGTGGAAAATCATCCGGCTGGATTCCACTCCTTCCTCTGGGCTCAGATTGAACTTTATACCCAGGTTAGTGACTCACGCACTCGTTATGGTCCTCCATCAGAGTTACTTGGTCACTAACCTGTGTTTTTCCCTCTACAGAGGTTCAGGCCATTTAGCCCTAGCTGCTGACCCACAGACTTTCCAAGCAGTCCATAAACACTATAAATCCTTGAGTCTGTCTGCCTGATTTCTGGCTCTAACGTTCTGAGTCCATACACTTTCTATGAAAGTATAAGTTAACTAAGTAACTTTTACTTATTATCAATATTCATCAATATATTTTTTACGTTTACCTAATTAACATGCTACACTGATAGCCTTTCTTGTAATTAAGCTCTTATCTGTCATGTTCCATCCGCATAATAAATCTGATACCTCCTCATACTGCCAGATTAAGGCTAATGTCCACAATTATAATGGTTTTATTTAACAGACTAGACTCTCCCAAGGTTTAAAGAACAGCTGCTATATTAATTCGTTATTTTTCAGGCATTTTAAAACACAGCTTTGGTAATTTTGGTGTTGCAAGTAAACAGGTTAAGATTCCACATATTAGCTCATGCTGATGCATGTTCACACTCCCTCACCTGCAGAAAGCTGTAGGACTTCTCTCCATACAGTCTGTTGGCAACATTGAGAGCGAATGCAGCTCCTGGCTGGTTGAGCACACTCACCAGTTTGGCAAACAGAGTGTAAACTTCGCCCTGACAATCCTGGGTTTTCAAGCACTGTAGACACACAAGACTGGAGCTTTTACAAGGAGACAAACATACATTTTCCCTGCAGATGCTCTAAAGCATATGTCAATAAAAAAGCCAGTGGGTACAAAGAAGTTAAACTGCTAATGTAATGGGAGTAAAGGTATGAAACACCAGCAGTGTGCTCTTTGTTATATGAAATGTTTCCTAGCTGCAGCCATCCCTATTACAGACATTATTCAGAAGTGGCACAAGTTTGACTTCAACACCCCTGCTCTAAACATCTAGATCATGCAGACTGGGAGATCTAAGGAAACAAAGTTATAGAATGTTTTAGTGAAGTTAATAAATGATTAACTCACCTCTGATATCTGAGTGGCTGTATCACCTCTAGCTCCCATCATCACCATAGCCATAACTGCAGAGATGCTGAAAGGAGAGAAGAAGATATTTGCAGTGTTGTTGTCTTCACTCAGGTTTCTGAGCAGATCCAGACAGAAGCTGGTGTTTGCCTTGGATAGAGGGCTGAGGGAAGCCATGTATTCTGATAAGAGTAGACAAAGAAACATTTATTCTTAAGTTACACCAATCAGCAGGAACATTCAAACAGCCTAACAGTAATACAGTAACAGTAAGGACTTTGTTTAATGTTAAAATATTTACATCTATAATAGAGATTCATAGAATGCATCTTCTGTGCATTATTAATCAGTTTCACACACAATTTTGGCTTTATAAATGGACATTAAGAACCTGTAAGAACCACTCTCAGACATTGTGACACTAGAATAAAGTTTACTTTAAAGATTCCCAAACTTTTCAGCTGCTGACAGAAAAAAATAGAACCAAAGTTGACTCAGAAATAGTTGAGTATACAAATATTTCTGCAAAATCACTAAATCATTGTTGTAACAATTCTTACAAGCAGCACTGATAACCAGAGTGGTTGTTTTTTTACATTTCCAAGCATTTTAACATTAATATTTATTTGAAACCAAGAGGGACTTTGACCCCAACTTTGGGAATTAATGCTTTACGTGATTTTTTACTAGTTATAGTATATCACCAACTGTAATTGTTAACTTGCTTCAATTAAATACTCAAAAATACAAATTGTATTTTACAGTGCTGCACATCTGGATTACTTTATGTGAGACACAAGAGCGTTTCAAGTCTCAAGTGTGAGGGATGTGGTCGGTCCATGGTTGTCACAAAGCCAGTTAAATGTTTCATACATTAATACATTTATCATACTTGTGCAATCTGGTTTCTTTCATATATACAGTATTTTTACAGTATTCACTTTTGTGCCATAGATATTTTTCCCTCCATGACTCTCCTCCCTCGTTGTGACCAAAATCCTTTTTTTTTATGTGGAGAGCAATTGTGAGCACAAACTCTGTGCAGAAAAAAAAAACTAAATTGGGTTTATTCCAACAAAAAACTAATGAGTAATGTCACAGAGGTAGCAACCTTTAAAATAAATGTTAACTAGCTTAACATATTGATGCAGTATATTGGCCTGTTGTCATCATTTAACTAACTAGTCTAATTTGCAAACAATGTTGGGCAACTTTTAAAGATTGTTTGGAAAAACTGCTACGTTTTTTGCTCCTTGTTGCTGGTTTGTTAAACATCCTGATGTTCAAAATTTTCATCTTCTACCTCTGTACCACACAAATTAATGCACTTTGACTGAGACAGATAATGAAAAGTTATTGAAAGCTACAAAGCAAAGTGCCATTACTTTATCTGTTTTCTCTCCTCCTGAACTAGAAGATTCTCTGGGCCCTTTAGTGAGGGGAGGCCCCAAAAGGTGTTTAATACATGTCAAGTACGTATTGATATCATGTGATTACTCAATGATGTTGTCGCTTATTTCCCAATGGCTGTTGAGTATTACAGTAGAGTATGGCAGGCCATTTTGACATTTATTAGCTTGACTAACTACTGTATGTAATCCAGATGTCTCAAATGCATTTCTTCCTAGTTAAAATGAACATTTCACATATTTGAAACGTAATTCTTACTAGTAAAATTTATGTCACGTTTCTGAATCATGTGAATTGGGCTTTCAGATCTCTATAATAGAGTTACTGCTATTCATAAAGATAGATATCAAATTTCAGATATAAAAAATGAATATAACATTACAGATATCCAGAAATCCAATTCTTGACATCAAAAGTATATTTCGGCTAGTAGAAATGTCATTACAGATATCAACTACTTATTTTATGACTAGTTAAATTAGAATTCCAGATCTCAATTTTAAACAAGTCTATCCAAAATGCAGTTTTAGATATTTGCAAAAGAATAATGAGACTCCGTTTTAACATAAAATAGGCAGAATGTCAGATCCAATTTCTATTACAGATAGTATTAAAGCATTTTAACCAGTCACAATAACAATATTCCTAATCAGAATTGTATTATAGATATCACTAATTTCATTTCTACCAGTAGAAATTTAATTTAAATTTTTTTAAATTGTACTGGTAAGAACTACATTTCAGATATCTACAAATCTTTACTTATTTTAAGTAGCCGTTTTAACATACATTTGCTTGACAAGATTTGCATTTCAGATATTTTTAATAGTATTCCTCCTATCTAAAATGACAATTTCAGATATCTGAAATCTAATTCTGACTTAAAAATAAATATGTCTAAATGTCTAAAAAGGAATTTCAGATCTCTGTAATCCAGTTGCTACTGGTCATAATTTTTATTTTCATCATCATTGAGGAAGGGAGCTATAAGCTTGAACAAAGTTTTAATATAGTAATTGAAAAAAGTGTAACAACAAAATCTAACTTGCCGCTTTTAGGGAAGCTCTCTTCATCCACACTCCTGTTGGCAGTGGTGTCTGCCTCTGATGTTTTATTCGTGAAGAGTCCACAACAGTTCATTACCTCTGGATGTTCAACCAAACCTAAATCAGAACTGCCAGATAACAGACACAACTTGTTCTTATAAAGGCTTTACTTTAACATCCCCCCAAAGGGAAGGCTCTAAGAAAAGGGGCGGATCTTCTGACACATCCTCTGTGGATGTGAATACAGAGGGCTCCACTGCTTATTTACAACAGGAATGGAAGAGGAAGGAAGAAAAACTGAAACATTAAAAAATAATTATTTTTCAGAATTAGCATCAGACCGAATCAGACACACTTTAATAATCCAACTACATATCTGAATGTTGATTTCTCTATGTGACAGATTAAACATTAAATTGGCTTCTCTGTATATAAGCTGGATCTGTCTTGTGAAGTGTACTCAGATGTCACTTCACGAACTGTTGCTGTATAAATCTAATGGATCTGAATAATTTATTACTGACATAAGCTCATAAAATCCCAAAGAGATTATAGTAGTACATCCATTGTGTTTAAAAGGGTTCAATCTACACTGTTTGTTGAAAATTACATATTCTAGGATATTTACTGTTTTTGAAATTGTCAAAAATGTTAACCCTTTTACATAAAATATTCTAGATGAACAAAAAAACACATCTTTATATGGTATGAGGCTGTATGAATAACTGTTGATTTCTGTAGTTGGTTACATACCTTTTTTAATCAGATAGGCCCCACCATCAAGGCAATACTCCCAGGGGTTTCAGGTTGTATATATAGCCAGTAAATTACTGTCCCCTCAAGGTAATAAATGAATGGCCTAACACACACTCAAAATCAAGTTTCTCAATCCTCGTGGGGACACTCCATTGGCTTCCATTGACTTCTAACCCATTTCTACAGTCTAGCCGTGACCCTTACCCTGCACCTAACCATTACAGGTTCATACCTAAACCTGACCCCAACCTAAACTAAATTCACACCTTAGGCCTAAACCTAAAATTGATTTAAAAAAATTTGATCTCACAGTGGAGAAATGTTGTCATTACATCAGCTCAAATAGTCAAAGAAGAAAAGTGTGCCAAAAGGAAGAAAAAATGTCCACATATGACAGCTTTTTTTATAGTAGGATAAAAATAAAAATAAAAACAACCTAACCCTAAAAAAAAATGTACACATAGGGAACAGGCATTGGTCCCCACAAGGAGCAATTGGTCTCTACAGTCTGCTATTACTCCAGAAAATGGTCCCCACAATATGTAAAACACAAACACCCCACAAATTCTCAGCTTGCTCTATGTAGTGAAGATCATGTGTCGAGACCCATTGACTTCCATTCTTTTTCATCACTTTCTATGTTTACCTTAATGTTGACAAAAACCCTCAACCTAACCATTACCTGTGTATACCCAACCCTAACCTAATTCACACCTAAGTAGCTTGTGAGGACTGGCTAAAATGCCCTCTGTATAAATGTCCTAATTTCAAACACTGAAACTGGTCCTCACTCTTATTCTAAAACAGGAGCAAACACACACAATTAGGTAACTATTATAATGATAAACACTAACTAACCCAAATGAATAAGTAAATAACTACTCATAAATACTATACCAAGTTTCTGAAATTCATAAATTTTACCATTTTGCAGTCACCATAACAACCTCCGACTTTGCCAATGCCTTACATATCACACTTTCAACAGCTTCTCAAAATAGTATACATAGTATATAGTAAACTATAGTAGTATACTACTTGCCCTGACTATTGTTGTTATTTGATTCTGTTTTCATTGTTGTCTTAGCCAAAGTATGTATTACTTTCATCATGAATAATACAAAGTATTCTGTATTTACTATAAGTGAAAGTTAAATCATGAATAATACAAAGTATTCTGTATTTACTATAAGTGAAAGTTAAACTATGTCACTGATGGTTTGTAGTTCTCCAAATGATTTTTTTTTCACAACTTTAGTGTGATATGTATGTTTTAATTTTGGGGTTCCCCCTGCTCTCGACTTAACACCCTCAATACTCAGCAATATGTTCTCCACAGATAAATTGAATGTCAGTGCCTCTTTCGCATTTTCTATATTCATGATCACTTCATGTTGTTGTTTCACTGTGCATAATGCAGCCATATTACCATATTCTGGATATTTGAAAGCAATCATCAGAATCAGGTTTGCTGAACCTCAGAAACATCTAAAACATGCAGAGCAGGGTGCCTTGAGGACCAGGATTGAAAAACACTGCACTAGAATAAAGTGAACTTTTCTTTACGTTGAAACAGCGTCTCCCTCCTTCATAATTGAACATTTTAATGACAAATGCTACCAGCCTTCCCAGTTGCCTAAACTAGTCGTCCGCTGATTCAATCCCAAACTGCCTCCTTAAGCTTATTACGAGTTCTCATGCCTGTATTCATGAACATTCATAACACTGCTTTCACCAAGCCTTTTTAAACACTCCTGTGTCTTTTTGAATCCTTAGAGGTCTTCATGCTACATTTCATTGGACTTAGAAGGAAAAGTACACCCTAATAGAGAAGTTAGAAGAAAACCCCTTAGAAAGACACATAAAACAACCTCAAAAGAAAAATACATTTTGGACATGTAATTTGTACACAGGAAAGCATTATGCATTGCGTGCATAAAGTGCAGCTAACATCAGTTCATTGTGTAGCACTAATGGTCTCTGATCAAAGCACTTAGAGTAATTGGGGTTGCTGTCTCATTCAGTGGTCTTAAAGTATGACTCCCTGAGTGCTTAAGTAAAAACAATGTAACATTCCAAGGAAAAACAGTGAGTCATTTTAAAAGCAGCAGCTCTATTATGATTGCTTTTTTAATGTTGGTGCTGGGAAGTGCAAGTAAGTTAAAAATGATGCCCTGATGCTTCTTTTTAGTTACTGACTTAGACTTTGAGACTTAGACGTAGACAAACTTTATTGTCATTTTGTACACACAGCGTGTACATTTTAAGACATTTTATATGTTTTAAAATGCAGCACTGATAAAATGTACCCTGGGGATCAAGATGTAAACATAAGACTCTTTATTGTGCTTCTATAGAAGGTCGGGAGGATGGTTGGGGGCCGGTGGGCTCTCCAACTCAGGAAGCACATATGTTTTTGTGCCCTTCTGACCAATGAGGTGGTGTTTACAGTCCAGGTGAAGTTGTCTGTGATATGCAGCCCCAGGAATTTGGTGCTGCTGACCACCTCCACACCTGAGCTATTGATGAGCAGTGGGTTAGGCCGATTCTTCCTGATCAGATCAGGTTGTTATCTCCGCACCAGTCCACCAGCTGCCTCCTTTCTGTAGTCCTGGTCATTGTCGTCTCTGATGAGGCCCGCAACCGTGGTGTTGTCTGCAAACTTCACAATGTGATTGGTGGTGAACCCGGGGATGCAGTTGTGTGTCATCAGGGTGAACAGCAGGGCCTTAGGACGCAGCCCTTAAGGGAGCCTGTGCTTAGGGTGATGACATCAGAGGTGTTCTGTCAAACCCAGACTGACTGAGGTCTGTTTGTGAGAAAGTCTAGCAGCCAATTCCAAAGGGGTGTTTTGAAGCTCAGCTGTTCCAGTTTGCCTATAAGATGCTGTGAAGTCCAGGAACAGCATCCACACGTGGGTGTTCTTTCCACTCCAGGTGTGCCAGGCTAAAGTGAAGAGCAGAGGAGATGGCGTCCTGAGTGTAGCGGTTCCATCGGTAGGCAAACTGGAACGGGTCCACTGTTGGGGGGGACACTGGAGACGATGTGTTCCTTAACCAGCCTTTCAAAGCACTTCATCATGATAGGAGTCAGTGTGACAGGCTGATAGTCATTGAATGAGATGACCGAAGGCTTCTTTGGGACCGGAAGGATGGTGGCAGACTTAAAGCATGCTGGCACTATGGATTGATCCAGCAAGGTGTTGAAATGTCTATGAGGACACCAGCCAGCTGATCTGCACACTCCTTGTACACCTGCCCAGGTATGTTATAGGGGCCTGGGCCCTTTCTTGGGTTGATTTTCCTCAGGATTTCCTCACTTCAAATTTGTTAAGGTTAAGTGTCTCCTGGCTTCCTCTAGCCCTCTATCCAAGGCAAACAACAAGATTTACTCTGCTACGTCCGCTTTTCCTTCTAAATCTGCTAATACAATGTTAGTTAACTATTATTCTAAACCATAATTGATTCAGTGTTCCAATTTAAAAGAAAGTTGTTTCTGAGAAGAAAAAGTCTGTGTAGAAATGCTTCATTAGTCAGAAGTGAAAACAAACAGAGCGCCGAAAACCTGAACACAGGTGGTGAAGGTCTGGACAGATATAACTTGCAACCAAAAAATGTAAACGTATATCTTTCTTCACTGAGATAGTTAACAAAAACTTTATTAATGCTTGTGTCCTTATTGCTACGGTTCACAACTTGTTGAGGGGAGCTGGTACATCAATATAAAGTCCAGTACAAAAGTTATCTCCTACTAGAGCTGATATTTACCAAACTTCCCAATTTCATCATATATGCTACTAAAAAGCAGATGAAAGTTTACCAATAAGCTCTTTTTCCTGCTGTCTCCTTTATATTTTATAATATTTTCATTGCTAAAAAGCTCCTTTAGGAAAAGACTTTTACACCCTGCTTGTAAAAAGAAGCACTACCGCAGGTAATTCATCCCTGCTGCAACCAGACAATCCGAGACTACAACAGTAATAAATTGTGCAATGTATAATGTGCAGTTTATATTGGATACCCTTTGCAATAACCTGTTTCCCTATATCTGACACCCAGTGCAATAACTATATATATATAAATATAAATATTCATCTACCGTATATAAATACCCATGTAAACATCCTGTGCAATAACCCTGTATAATGATCCCAATATATAAAAAAAAAAAAATGAATAAAACTTTTAAAAAAAGCTGTCACTGTATAGACTCTATATAACCATGCACCTTTTTCTTCCTTTGGCACATTCTTCTACTTTGACTATTTGAGCTGATGTAACTATTTAATTTCTCCTCTGCATTTGACCCATCCCCTTGGGGAGCAGTGGGCTGCCACTGTGAGGCGTCCAGGGAGCAGTGTGGGGTTGAGGGTCTTGCTGAGGGACCCATAATTGCAGTCAGTGGGAGTGGGGCTTGAACTCAAAACCTCCGGCAACCAAGCACAATGCTCTAACCATTAGGCCACCACTCCCCCAGGTGAAGCCTTTCGAGCAAATTTTGCATAGCTGTAAATGATCAAGAAAATTTGCTTGGCTTTGTGACCAAGCATGGTTTTATACATACAGATTTTTTTACTGGTATCCATCCTATGCATTATAAAAATGAAACCCCCTAAAGCAGGGGTCACGGATTAGCGAACCGCGGTCCGTATCCGGACCTATCCGCTGGCTAATCAGGACCCAACCTGATTTAAAACATTTATAAATTACCGCATGTTGTCCGACGACAGTGTCTAACTTCACTTGCACCGCTTCTCCTGTTAATATGGTAAAGCTACACATGATACAAATTAGCCATTGAGCTGTCAGTCTGGTTTGCTGCTGCTAGCCACTTTTATTCACAGCAGGCAAACCTGTGGCAAGCCGGGCGATGGGAAAGAAGGAGAAGACAATGAGAAAAAGAAAGCAGAGAAAGTGTGGACTGCTGGGAGACCTGCGCTGAACTGGTGAAAGAAAAGGAAATGTGCTCCAAGTTGACCCTGCACACTTTGAGTATGTTTGGCTTAACCTGCCATTGTGAAGCAGGATTCTCCACCATGAACAGAATCAAGAATAATAAATATTGATTACCTTGATATGTGCTTGAGAATGGCTTTGTCTCCATTCAAACCCAGATTTAAAGCCTTGCACGGTCAGTTCAGGTGTTTTATAAAATATGAGAACCAGGAAATTGTCTATATACCAAATTGAAAGATTGTTGTTCTCTACTTAAAAAAAACATGGTAGATTTTAAAATGGAAAAATTTTGTATATATATATATATATATATATATATTTTTTTTTTTTTTTAAAGAAAATCTTTAACATGGATTCATAAACACTTCATTTTATTTCCGTGTTAAATTCAGTTTAAATTAACAGATTATAATTAAAAATGTCTCCGAACCTTTACTGGTTGATTATTATGAAGGACCAAACTTAAATAAGGACATTTAATAGTGTCAAAAATAGTTAATAAAGAATGAAAAGCAATAAAAAAAAATAACAGTTTAACTGAGGTCAATTGAGGAACCAACTCAAACAAAAAACTGACCTGCAAACAAAGAACTAAAGGCTGCTTAAAAAGGGATGGAGTAACCCAAGTCCACCACATTATGGAGGCACAACATAACAAAAGAACCAATAAATACAAAACTAACTAAAGCTTTCTATGAAACAAATAAAGCAAAACTAACTTTTACTTAGCAGAAACAATAATAGGTGAGTATTTAAGTGGCAAAATTAACTAATTAAAAACAAATTGAAACAAGTCTCCCCGTCAGTCTTTAAAAACAAATGGGATGCTCCAGGTTTCCTCCTCCGGCTGGTTTGCATCAGCAGCACCTCAAACAAAAAAAAAACAAAAAAAAAGTGTAAATAAACCATTCAGAAAGACATTAACTAAAGTGTGCACCCATTAGAAAATACCTGTCTAAAAGAAATAATCAACTTAAACATAAACTGTAATATAATATAAAGCAAGAAAAAAAAATACTAACACAATGTGTTGGTGGGAGGATCATCAATCACAATAATTTTCTTTATTCGGCCCCCTTGGTTACCCCTGCTCTAGAGAGAAGCATGTGTCTCAAGAGCCATGTGTTAGCCTTCCTTGGGCTGTAAATAGAATTGATTTAATGGCGCTAAACGAATAAAAAAAAAGTTAACGTGTGTTAATGTGATTGGACAAATGAACGAATTTTACCTGGTTCTACAACTACATTTGAAAAGGGTAATCATACTTTTCAGCCTCATTGCACAAATGCCTCAACCTCACAAAGACAATAGATGCTGTGGGGAAACTTGCCCAACAAGTTCTCAGGTGTTTTTTTTTTTCCTCAAGAAAATGTTTTACTGTTTGTATCTCTAATAGGCTATTTTTTTACTATGTTTCCAATATACTGTAATGAGAGTCTCACCATTTATAAAAAAAATAAAATAAACTTTTCTCCATGGTCTTCTCCAGCTGTGCTCTTTCATAGGCTGGTATTTAGATGAAACTGCTGCAGCTGGGCTGTTTTTTTCCCCGTTGATTGAATTAGAGTTAGAAACATTAACTATAAACTTTAATAATCTCTCTTCTTGAAAATATTACCAAGTCAAAGCTCCAGTTACTTATGTTATTACTGGGACAGACCTAAACTCCTCCTTGCAGCAAGTTTCAGTTAAAACCATTATTGGCAGCCCTTTAATTGACAGCTGCTCATATACCTGACCCTCTGCTTTTATGTGAAAATTTACCATATCAGGAAAAAAATCATATATGATCTAATACAATAAAAGTACACAAGCTTCAGGTGTTTGAACTTGCCAACTGAAAGGAACATTTATTTTTGGCTCAGAACCTGTTTCCTGCGCCTAGCTCTCTTAAAGGTAACAATAACAATGGAGCTGTGAAAAAAACTCTGAAATAGGAACACTTTCCCTTTAAGGGCATGTGTTTACTTGGGAGTGCTCACCTGAGTATAACACTGACAAGAGCAATCTCTCCGCCCATGAATCAGTCCTGATCACTTTAAGACAAGTACCCCAGGGTAAGTAAAATGTAAAATTTTCTAAGGAATATTATGATGTTGTTTAATAACTAAAGGATTAAAACATTTATTGGGTCTAGTCACACATACAAAAAATGTTTATTCAACAAACTGGTAGGAACTGAGAAAGACTAGTAATTCATTCAAGAATGGCCACTGGTTCTATAGTAACATGACATTCAGTTTGAATGATGTAATTACAATTGTCATGACAGTCATGCACCCTTGAATTGAGTGGTCTCCTGGCATCCTCTTGTTGCTACATAAACTGGTATGATCACTTCAAGACCACTAGTTTTATTTAGTAACACTTAACGATTATTATGGTGTCAGGATTGTGCCAAAAGTCCACACACTCAATATATTCTCCTACGAGCAGCTTTACTTCAATAAAGACGCTCATGAACAACTCCTCATGTGCATGTTTAGCATGTAACATTTGCAAATACATTATGACAGGCACTGATACAGTACGTCAAACATGAGTGCTTGTTCTTTTACACCACAGGTGCACAGCCTACTTCCTCTTCCTGTGTGGACCTGTCTCCAGGTGCCCGTGTCAAGTTTTGTCACTTTGAAGGCGTTACCCACTGGACAAATCAACCTGCCTCTGATTGGCTACTTTTCAAGAAATCCAGCAGGGTTAATGAACACTTTTCTGTTAATCTCAATTCAACTATTTCTTCACAACCACCTATAACTTTTGGGCAATTATCAAATTCTTCAACTTAATCAGATTTCTGCCTGCCTGTCTGCATTTGGTTCCTACTTGAAGACTGATGTTTCCTGGCAGGTTATATGATTTTAAAACCACTGATGTAATTTATCCTCTCTTTATATCAGACAAAAATGGCTTCCCCCAGCCCTCTATCCAAGGCCAACACCACCTTCTGTCTGGATTTGCTCAGGAAGCTGAATGAGGACAACAACACTGCAAATATCTTCTTCTCTCCTTTCAGCATCTCTGCAGCTCTTTCTATGGTAATGATGGGAGCCAGAGGCAAAACAGCCTCTCAGATAACAACGGTGAGTTAATATTGTGTTCACTTCACCAAAAACCCAAGTCATAATGTTTCTCTTTTTTGGTGCAATAAATTCAACCTTTCATGTTTTAGAGTTCCTACAGAGAATGTGAGTCCATTTGTCTTGTTTTTGCACAGTGCTTGAAAACCCAATCTTGTCAGGATGATGTCCACACTCTGTTTGCCAAACTGCTCAATAAGCTCAACCAGCCAGAAGCTCCATTTGCTCTCAGTGTTGCCAACAGACTGTATGGAGAGCAGTCCTATGGCTTTCTGCAGGTGAGTCATTTGTATGATGGTTTAAACATCAGTTTATATATGGAACCCCTAAACTATAATGCAGTTGTGTATCTTCATAGAACATTTAAGCAAAATATCAATTGAAAGCAATGCTTTATTTGAGCAATTCACAACTTTAAATTCACGTGCTGCATACATTCTGTATCTTACACACAGTAATATATATATATATATATATATATATATATATATATATATCTTCTCCAGTCTGGGGGTTTCATCCCCGTTCTCAGATGATCACAGGCACTATCGTTGCCCTCACCTTCCAGGCTCTTTCTAGTTCTTCCCTGAGCCCATGGTATTTCTCCAGGTTCTAATATTGTTTTTTGCTGATGCTTCCATCATGCAGGATGGCCACATTGATCCCTATGGCCGTCTTATGCTGCTTATTACTGACCACAATGTCTGGTTGGTTGGCCAAAACCATTTAGTGTGTTTGCATCTTTAAGTCCCACAGGATCTTAGCTCTGTCATTCTGCGCCACATTGGGATGTGGCTCCTATTTTGACCTGTTGGTCTCCAGTTTGTATTCTGTACAGATTCTGTAAACCATCCATTTGGTTGTGACGTTCCATGTATTCCTTTGCTGCCAGTATCTCACACCCTGCTGTGAGATGCTGTTTCTGGGGCCTCTTTTCATAGCCTGCACCTAGGATCTTGAATTTCAAATGAAAACACTCACAGTTTCTTAGAAAAGAAGAATATTGCATAGGATCATTTAAAAATAATAATGCAAAGTTGTGCTGAAAGGTATGTCCACTTTCTACACTGAATATGCACCAAATAGTCAGTGGAGGCAATGCATCAAAACTGTTGAGGTGTTCTGGAACTCAACAATAATTTTATAGAAACCTTCACCATTTCTACATTGTTGCTCTTTGGTCTCTCATTTTCCTCTGGGCAAAATCTCATAGGTTATAACAAGGTGAATAATAACCATCAGTATTTACTAGGAAGATGAATTAGAGATATAATCATTAGTTTGTTTTATAACTGCTGTTTGTCCTCTCAGGAGTTTTTAACCAAAACAAGGGCTTATTATAACTCGGAGCTGGAGTCTGTGGACTTCAGAACCAGCTGTGAGAAAGTCAGAGTCAAGATCAACAGCTGGGTAGAGGAGCAGACACAAGGTGGATCTCACACTTTAGTTCATCGTCTGACCCTATCCTACACATAATAAAGAAGAAATCTGAAGACCATTAACTCCCTCTGGTGTTAATGTGATGTTAAAAGCATCAGCTTCTATGTTGTTTGCTCTTATCTGATTGATTTTGTCAATAGGTAAAATCAAGGGTATGGTGTCTGAGGGTGCATTGGACAACATGACCAAGATGGTCCTGGTGAATGCCATCTACTTCAAAGGCACTTGGAATGATCCATTTAACAAATTTGAAACTTATGAAGATCAGTTCAGTCTCAACAAGGTAAATATGAAAAACTATTCCCTCAGTCTGCTGTTCTAAATAGTAATAGGACTTTCCATTTATTTTCCTTGGGTTTCTTTGACATTCAGTTTTTTTTTTTTTTTTTTTTTTGTTACTTAAGTGTGTTTTTTTATTTTATTTTGTTATGTTCAGAATAAAAAGAAAACTGTACAGATGATGCAAAAAGAAGCATTATTTTCAATTGCCTTCATTCCTGAAGCCGACTGTCAGGTAATAAAGATATTCATTCAGTTAAAAACACAGTCAATGCCAGGAAAAGACTGGCTTTCATCCCAGTATGTATATTTATTTTATCTTGGAAACGTTCTGTTCTACAGATCCTGGAGATGCCTTACAAAGGGAAGGAGCTGAGCATGCTGATCTTTTTACCTAAACAGATAGAAGACAAAACGACAGGTCTGGAGAAGGTACAGTAGGGCTCTCTCACTCTCAAAGTTTAAAAACACACTGCAACATCCAATGATTTATCTAAAACTTAGACAGGAGAGGAAACTGGCTTTGAATGTTCTCTGATTATCTGCCTGAAGTGATAAAATTTTTTGGTATTTTTTTTTATATAATTTTATTAGCTGAAGCAGACAATGTGAATTAACATTGCAGCCTTAATTGTATTTGCTATGTATTTTAGTCCCCAGGTAACATTGTGTAATACTGACCTGCCAGAAAACATAATGTTAACTTAATCTCAAAAAGAATTTTAATGATCCTCTGAACATCTCCATTATTAGAGCACTTGGCCCAGAGAAGCTCTTTGGAAAGCTTAACCCCAAACACCAGACTGTAATAATTGGGTTAAGGGATCTGACCCACATGCAGCGAACCCCTCAGAGACCAAATGACAAAAGTTGAACAGGTTTATTGAATGTTGATGAAAAACAGAAGTAGGAGCGGGAACTCAAACGACTGGTGAACAGGAACCGGAAAGTCTGAAGGAGAGATCACAGTGATCAGTTCAGGGAGCGTAGAAAAAATTGACTGAGGCTTGAATATAGCTGGAGAGACACTCACGTTTGAGGGGGCTCTTGTTAATCCTTGAATCCAGTTTGTGGGGGATTAATCCAGAGCAGAGTGAACTCATTGGAGAGCGGACAGGTAGACATACGTTTGACCCAGAGGAGTAAAGGAGTGGACTGTCACTTGGTTTTCCGATGAGGACTTGAACGGATCATGTGGAGGTTTACCCCTGATCAGTATGTACTCAGTAATCCTTCCAGGGGGAGAAGGTCCAGGTTATCCAGCTACACAGGAAAGGCTTCCTGCCGAAGAACAAAGACAAAAACAAGATAAGACTTAGAGAAACAAAGCTTTGGTTAGACTCTGCTAATGTGAGCTTGGCTAGAGAACCCAAAACTGGCAAACACTCTAGCGTCGAGATAGGGACAGCCCGTTGCCCAAATACTCCTCCGGTAATGATCCAACGAGCTGCAAGGAGGCCCAATGAGGAAACAGGGCACCACCTGGTGGAGAAAAACACAAAAACAACCCACACAAACTGGATTCCTAACACAGACGTCATTTAGACGTTAGGTTTTAAGCTAAATCTGGTCAGTCCATCATAGTCTTCATTTAGAAATACTTGTTGAATATGGGCCAGTGTTTGGTTGGTCTCATTTTGTTCCACCTAAGTCCAATAATATATCTATATATATAACTTTTAAAATGTCACTTTAAATCAAATGTACACCTTTGGTGGTAAATCATGTTGTCTTTTCAAGCTCTTATCAACCAATTTTTGCTCGGCTGGTATTTGATATCATGGTTAGACTTGATCTGAATTGATCAAATCAACAAGGACACAAAAGTGGTGAAAGTGCATCAATAATCGACAAGATGAGTGCTATCCAGATAGAGCTGACAGTAAGAAAGAAGGTAGGAAGAGGAAGCAGGATGCTTCCTTTCGATCATTCATTTAGCATAGGGACCTCAACTGCATAGCTATAAGGTTCTCTACATTCCTTTGAGTAACAGGACGTATAGGCACAGTCCACCTCATAGAAATGTTAAAAATTGCCTTATTTGTTATGTGCTCTGTGATACATAAACATGTACACGCCTTCATATGTATTAGGTTGTATAAATGGAAGCTCCAGCCATCTGCTACATTTATGTAACTTGCATTATTTGTAAATAAATCCACTACAACATTTTGCTTGATTTGTAATTGCTTGGCTGGTAAGCAAAAGCAACATTATGAGGTGTCTGTGCTTGTGACTACTGTTTTTTGAATGCTTCTACTCTGTGATAGTAGCAGAGTGAAATTGTGCAGCATAGCTAAATGAACTCAACAGATTGATCTAATTTATAAAAGGGTTTGTATCTGAGTCATATGTAGCATATGACCTACTGGTACCTGGCAGTTGTGCTGCAGCTTCTTGGGAGTAGGGAAGAAAATAATGAAAACTGACCATAATTTCTTCTTTAATATGACAAATGTGACTGTAGTTCTGCATTGACTTCTATATGCTTTGTGAGGACTATAAAACCTAACAAATTAACAACAAAAGATTCTTAGTATTACCAATGGAGGTGTTTGTTTTTATTCATAGAGAACTTTCAAAATGTATATCAAGCACATCTGAAAGTGTTTTACATGAATTAGATAACAAAACAGAAGATAATCAAATCAGAATACAGGAAAATAAAGATAAGAAAACATTTGCAAAACAAATAAAACAGTTGAACCACAACCTTATAATAATAACTCAGTTATGCCTTCCTGCCTGAGAGCTTCACACACCATGGCATGCCTAATAAACCTAATGTTTTTCTGATCTTTTTCAATTTTGTTTCCTGCTTTAGTATTTTATATTACTATTTGTTTATATTATCATTTTATATATGTTTTTATATTATTCTATTATTATTATTATATTATTCCTTGCATTTAAAGGTTTATAATATTGATAGGTTTATTGATTATAGCTCGTAGAGATTTCTGTAAATTTAAATCAGGATATAAACTTATCATTATAATTCTCCATCAAGCTAGGAAGAGTTCTCACTTATGAGAAATTCATGGAGTGGACTCATCCAGACAAGATGGAACACCGTGAGGTCGATGTGAAGCTGCCTCGATTCAAAGTGGAGGAGAGTTATGACCTGAACAAAGTCCTGAGCAGCATGGGCATGGTGGATGTTTTCGATGAGACAAAGTGCGATTTCTCTGGTGAGACACTTAAATATGAGTAAGATGTCATTTAGCTGAGTATTGTGATATCCAGCTCTGCACATATTCTACATAATTGACCTCTTGATCTGTACTCTCTTAAGAAAAACGAATTTACATAATTCACATTTACTTCTATTTTATTGCATCCTAAACAACACAGTTGGTTAAATAATTTAACTCTTACTAAGTAAAATTCCCAGATGCTTAATTTTAATTATATGTTTATGGATTTCCTTTATATATATATATATATATATATATATTTAATAGCATTTCTTGTCTTATCTGGAACAGGCATGTCTGCCAACAACAAGCTGTTTTTATCCAAAATCACCCATAAGGCCTTTGTGGAAGTGAACGAGGAGGGAACTGAAGCTGCTGCTTCCACTGGTTGCTGTTCTAGTTGTTCAGGAATTTTAAAGTTTACTGCTGATCATCCCTTCCTCTTCTTCATTCGACATAACCCGTCCATGAGTATTCTCTTTGCTGGAAGCTTCTGCTCCCCCGAGTGAGCTACATGTCCATCTGAGTGATGGGTCTACTGGTTAAAGGTCACTGATCTGTTCATATATATATATATATATATATATATATATATATATATATATATATATATATTCCTGCACATAGTTGGACATCTGCATATTGGAAAACTTCTGTTTTAGAACGTTTTAGTCTAGTTTGTTATCTATTATTTAAGAGCTCATAAAAACTCTTTTTTTATATCCTAGAAAAAGAAGAGTTTAAACTAAATAGCATGAAAACCCATATATGAAACCTTAGCATTTTTTTTCTTTTCACCTTGTTGGAGTTTGTATTGGTAGAATAGTAGCCCAGTACCTACAGAAATGTTTAAAAACCTTCAGTACCTCTTATATAACTCTGACCAGTTTTACTCAGAAAAATGTTTTTAGCTCTTCTGATAGTTCTAATAAAATATTGTCTACCCAAACAGATTTATTTCACGTTTTATGCCGTTTGTTTACATTTTAATGTTTCAAAATATTCAAGAAACAATTATCAGACAAACTCTTTAAAGAGACGTGTTAATAGTACAGTAATTTAATGTAATAGTACTATTTCTTGATGCCTTGTTTGCCTCTATTCAGCGCAGAAGCAGAGATGTACACAGATAGACAGTAGGTGGTGCTAGTACAACTTCTTGGTTTTTTTGTTTGTTCCATTTTTACAGTGTGAAGTTTATGGCTCAAAATAGTGAGATTTTACTACCAGTCCCAAAAAAGTTTGTCATTTGCCTCACATGCTCCATGGCTTCGACCAGGCGACCATAGAATTTATGTAATGTAGCCCTACACTGGAAAAAATGGAAATCTAGATAAGTTACTTCTTCTTAAAATAAGTGCATTTATTCTTGGATTGAGGAGGTAAAAGAGACATTTTGCCAATGGAACAAGACAATTTACACTTAAAATAAGAAATCAAAATTCCACTGTCTTATTTCAAGTACAAATTATCTAATTATCTTATTTTAAGAGTAAAAATACTCATTCCATTGGAAAACTATCTCATTTACCTGCTCAAATTAAGGGTAAAAACACTTAATTTAAGATTTTTTTTTACATATATCTAGATAGTTTTTCCAGTGTAATAAGATAAGAATGAAAACAAACAAGTTCCAGGGCATGGGGTCATCGATGCGCCCCACTCAGATGGTGTTATAGGCACATCTCATCGGCAGGAGGCCCAGGACCCGCTGGAGGCACTATGCTGGCCTGGAAGCGCCTCAGGCTATCCACAGCAGAGCTGTAGGAGGTGACTGGGTGTCTCTGCTGAGACTGCTGCCTTTGCCACCCGGTCCTGGATGAAGCGGGAGACAGAAGAGAAGAGAAAATAATCTAATTAAATGTATCTCACAGATGTAGCCATCTCACTTTAGTGGTCAATGATGACTTCTATTTGACATGTATTTCAAATTGAATATACAATAGAAAAGTATATCTTTTAAACCTTTATTATTTAAATACAAATAGAAAGCCAATCCATACAAGAAAAGACTAGAGTTGATTTAGCTCCCACAGAGTTAATTTTAGCACTTTTTCCCTTTTAAGAGTCATATCAAACTACTTGTGCTCTTCACCTTATTTTATGACTCAAAAACCAGCGTAGAATCATCATTTTAAAACAGTATGCTATAAACAGAGACATTACAAAGTGTGCAGTTTGGGAAGCTCTTTTAGTGGTCCCTTTGACTTTCCAGTCAAGACTCACACTGGGGCACTGTGCATATGCTGTCCACTGCACTGACATCTCACTAACATCTGCACTGCTTTGACTAAAGACATAGACAGATTTAGACTTAGACAGATTTTATTTGTCTTTATGTTTACAAAACAAAAAGTGTTAAACAAAAAGAAATTTCGTTTGGAAAGAGCTCTCTGGACAATTTCATCTTTTTTAGAAGTGCAGCCTTGAAAAATTGTAAAAATGACTGTACATTTACAGTTCTAACATTTTTTTTCTATTTTTTTTAACTATAATGATAAAATATAATAAATACAATACAAAAACCCATTTCATAAAACATTCAGTAGTCCCGGGCTGCTGCAACTTTCTAACTACTTTCCTGCTTAAAAACATCTTAAGCATAGTTTTTTACAAGCTTAAGGTATTGAAACAACGTTTGAACACTCATTTTTATCAGGTAGTGGTACTGATGGTGGAACAAACACTGCAGCTGAACACAACCCTGGGAAAAGTAGAAAGTACTGGTTCTGTAGCTGGACCAAAGCCCAAGGAAAATTATTTTACCTGGGTAAATATGTGTTTTAAATGCTACTTGGGTTTATGAAGCCCAAGGTTTTTAAGTGGCAATGGAAAAGGGGCTATTGTGTTGTTTAAATCATCCTACCCCTGTCTATCCAAATATTTCACCATCTAGCAATTTCTAACTCATTTCTAAATTTATAGAGGTATTTCATGTTCATTTTTTAACCAAAACGTAGGGAATAGAGCTCGGAATCCAGAGGTTCTGACTTCCAGCCCTACTCACACGGACTAGCATTCTGGGTCCCTGAGTAAGACCCAGGGCGCCGCACAATGGCAGCCAACTGCTCCCCAAGGGGATGTGTTAAATACAGAAGTGAATTTCTTCATTGTGAGATTAATAAAAGTTAATTTATTATTATTAGACTTACAGTTCAGAATTCATGTTTATCTGAATAAACGGTTATTAAACACAAAATTATTTATTTTCATCACAAGTTATCATAATAGAAAAGCTTTCTCAAAAGCTTTGGAAACCGGAGATGAACTCTTGGTCCAACATGCTTAAGAAACCTGTTCAAAGACTTACCTTTAATTATTATTTAGGTAGCACACACATCATCTTTATCTTATTTAATTCTTATATCTTATTTGTACATAAAATCTTATATTTCTCTCTTCTATAAACGGGTGCACTGCAAGACAAAAATCTCCCTTTATTAAGGGATTAATAAAGTAATACTGATTCTGATTCTTTGGCAAAATTCAAAGGGCCATTTTAATCTAGATTAATTCCAAGATTACAGTGGGATAAATCTAGATTTAAAAGATGTATCTATGCCCGCCACTTTATATACAAGCTTTTGTCATACATGTGCTGCTGCATCTCATTTGTTTGTTGCTTTTTCTTTGTATTAGGATCTTCTTGAAAACCAGATGCTTTATTTCAAGGGGCTTATGGTTTGAAATAAATAAATACATGCTAAATTGTCATGCACATATTATTTCTGTATCTTTTTACAAGTTTTTTTCATCTAAGGTCTAAAATACCTTACATTTTATATATCCATTTTTATTTTCAAGGATGTCCTAGAAGGGTATTAATTTGTCTTTTCCAATGGCCATTTCTTTTTGAGCCAGATTTCTCAACATTTACTTATGGACTCAACATAACAATAAAGCGTTGGGTAGCAGATTTGGATAACTGTAAAAAATCCAGAGAGGTTTTCTCACTGCTCTGTTTTTCTCCTTTAGTATTGTTTATTCCAAATCTTTATGATAGTCCATGGATTCATTCTCCAATGAGAAACAGACAGAGGAATGGATAATATAAAAGATCAGAGCAACAGTTAATCATGGAGCCCCAGACTCTTATATGCAATGTTTACATTCCTTTTATAAACGAATGAACAAAGCCCCTAAATGGACATTTCTACATGTGTCTTCCTGTATCTTTTTCTCATTATCAAACAGGACATTACAATAACATTATTATAAGTTTCTTAATCATCACAAACCACGGGATGCTCATATCGTATTAAGATTTACCCCCTAAAAGCCGCCAGACATTTGTTCTCATCTCATGACATCAACTTCCTGTATGTTTAGGTTGAACTCCAGATGAACTATATACAGGATAGAAGCCTGCAAGCGCACTTAGAATTAAGTTCTGCAAAATAGCTTATGATCTTATTCATACATGCTTAAGTGGAAACAAAAGTAAAAGTTGCAGGACAACAACCTGAGAATGTTGGGACTCAAAGATATGAAATTAGACCCACCAGTCAGCAGCTTTTATCCCCACATGTAACTGACCAATCAAAAGATTCATGTGATATAGGCTCAACATGATTTACTTCCTGTTGTTAAATCTAGTAGAAGTAAAATGCTTCTGTTGATAGTAAATTTGACATGCAATCCACTTAGACTACCTACAGTAATGCTAACTGTCCTGTCAATGAACACAGTGCTGCTGACCTTTACTAGGACACAGCAGAGGAGTTATGCTGGTATGGGAAGTCGGGGATGTTGCTGATTTGACTCCTCTGTTACTACGTTTAGGAAAAGAGACATGGTAAAAATGTAATATGAATATTTTGCTACATATTTCGCTTTGATGAAATGTTGTATAAATGTAGAGCTGTGCTTCTCTTTAGTTAAGCTGACTATCTTATTTCACTGGACATTGAGTCAGCAGCTTAATGGACACCCATTAGTGTCTACCCATCTTCAGATAAAGATTGACACCCGTTGCAATCTTTCTCTTTTTCCTTTCTTTTTTTGTAAACCAGATTTTTATATGAAGCATGGTCATTGCCATGGTTCTTAACTTCAAGCGCAGGGGGCTGCAACTTCGACTCTAGAGCCACATCTGGATCAATGGACCATCTAAAGCTTTTTATAGTGGCTAAAAGTTATATAAATAACTAATGAATGAATGTACTATAATGATAAATAACATTCTTAGAAGCGTTTGTACTTCAAATAAAGACTATTTGAATTTAATTCTTATCACAGAATGACATTAAAAGCACCAAAATTATGTTTTTAGAGCTATTTTTATTAGCTTGTGAATTATGTATTTTATTATAATTGTTTTATATCGAAATACCCTATAGAAGAAAATCCATGTCATTCTATGTCATTTCATGTTTTCTCTTTCTTTAAAACCTAAAAATACAAATAAGCTGTTGGTTGATCAAGATGGTATCAGATTTTCTATGGAAAACCTTTAATAAAAATAGGCTGTGTTTTATTTTAAAGTCATGAAATCTTTTGTGGTTCTAAATGGCTTTTACTTTGC